AGTTAATTTTAACTAATTATTTTTAGTTTTTATGCAATTACTCAAGAACTACAAATTCAAATTGGCTAAAAATTTTATTGCATATAGCCCAATATCATATGGGCTGCCGTCAATAGAAATAAGGCAGATCTACATTTTTTATAAAAATGAGTTATGTTATTCATTTAATAGAAAAAGTCATAACGGTTCTTTTTTATTTATGAAATATATCCAATTATCATAATATAATTTTAAGTTAAATATAATAAGTTATTTTTTCATTCGTATAATCTCGGTAAATCAAATTTAGCTCGAGAGATCGGATTATGTCCGATTATGTCGATTATGTCGATCATTTACTAACTAGTGCCGTCAATAGAAATAAGGCAGATTCCTCTAATAAATCTGCCTTATTTCTATTGACGGCAGTTTTTTTTATATCAATAAGAACTGCGCAACACGATTGTACGAAACCAGAACGTGAACTTTTTAAAATTAGGCTGTGTCAGACCTAGAAGTGCAGACATAAAGACATAAAGTATCATAATTGTAATAAGTTTTGGCATAGCTTATTATAACAAGTTATGACATTGTGTTCGCATCTTAGATTAAATTTGACTGAGGTATTTTAGATATTTTAGATTAATTTGTTATACGCATATTAAAATAAAGTTAATAATTACAAATTTACTAACATATAGAATATACAATTTTTGTTTGGCGTTGCTAAATATGAAGCCACAGGTAAATAGCAAGGTTAGTAAATCGGTGAACTACATATTACCAAGGAAATAGCACTAGACTTTTTACTTTATCAGACTTTAGATTATTAGTTTACTAATACTCTAATAATTTTGTCATTCTAAGAATATCTTAATTCATTAAAACAACAATAATCGTAGGCTTTGGACTATCAAGACAGGTATTGAAATATCTACGGTTTCAAATTCAATTTACTTATAGAATATTAGCATATACTGAAATATTGCAAGAACATTATGCTAATTCTTTGGTAACTTATTTGGAATAATTTTAGATCAGAAGAAAAAAGCATTAGCGAATATACTTTGTAGAAACACTACATCACTCATTGATTAGATGAACTTTGCAAGAACTTCACGTTAGTCTTATTATATTAAGATTAGATTACAAAAAGGAAAAGCACTAGTAAATTCATTTGATGAAAACAATACCTTGAAATACTTAAACATTCAATGTAATGGACTTGTTGGATTAGAAGAAGACAAAGCATCAGTAGATGCACTTCGCAAGAATGCTATACTGATATCTTTTGATGAAGATAATTATCTTTAATTTTAATTAAAGATCAAAAGCAATGTAAGATAATAATTGCTAAATTTTTTTGAATTTTAGACGATATAAGAAAGTCAGAGAATAACTTGGATCAGGAAAAAAAGGTATCAATATGCACTTTGAAAGAATTATGCTATATCATTCGATTATAAAATGAAGATCTTAGAGTAGCACAGGTTGAATCAATGAATAACGGGTACATATCGGAAGACAAATCTTCCGGTATGTACCCGTTATTCTACCATAGATCCGCCAAATAACTGTAGCATTTCGGTAGCATATTGGTAGCATATAGGTTAGATATCGGGAGGTAGATCGATAACGGTAATATAACAGTAACATACCGGGACATCCCAATATCTTACTCTTATCCAAATAGTGCTAAGAGTAAGATATCGGGATGTCCCGGTATGTTACTGTTATGTTACCGTTATCAATCTACCTCCCGATATCTAACCTATATGTTACCAATATGTTACAGTTATTTGGCGGATCTATGGTAGAATAACGGGTACATACCGGGAAATTTGTCTCCCGGTATGTACCCGTTATTCATTGATTCAACCTGTGTAGAGTAAGAAAAACGTTAGCAAATGCACTTTGTAAGAACATTATGCTGACTTATTAATATTGAACTAGGAGTAACAAATTTAAATTCTATAACATAATTTTTGTGTATAACTAACGACAAGTTTTATTTTTGTATAAATATAGATCAATAAAAATGAAATCAGATTTAACAAATCAGAAAATCTATACGAGTATGGGAAAATTTATGTAAATGCACAAATTTGATAACATAACTCAAAATAGATATTAACTGTGAATATGTAAAAACAAGGCATAACTTGCACATATTATGAGTTTAGACTTATGCATAATAACAATGTTATGTACAAATATAGAAACAATCAAATAAAACACTACTTCGTTTATCATTAAACTGCACTTTTTATTGTACTCCTCGTTGTCTCTTCATTCTACTTTTTGTTGTGTTCTATTTCTAATATTTAATAACGATGAATGAAAATACAGATAAAAATGTACTTTTTGACAGTATTTTTATTGAAACCCATTCCGAATTAACTACTTTAAATGATGAGTTTAATGAGTTATATAAACATTATAATACAAATGAAAACGGTGATGAATTAGTAAATGAAGAAGAGTTTTTTATTGAAAATCGGACAAGTAATGATAACATAATCGAACAAGTTGATAGTTTTGAGTCTGATTGTTTTACGTATCAAGAAATTGCACTATTTTATCAAATTTACCAAACTAATTCAATGCAACACCTTATTGAACACGAAGAAAAAAAAGATCAAATGTCTGTACAAGATAACCAAGCATTTCTAACAAAAATCCAGCAAACAGTTTGCTGTAAAAAAAATTGTTTCAATACTTCTATTAACCATGATGAAGCTCTTAAACGATTTTGTAAAATTAAATCAATGTCACCAACAGAAAAAAATATGCTTTTTTTAGGAATTCTTGAGGCAAGTGTACGACAACCAACTACTGACCGTGGAGAAATTAAACAGCTCATAACAAGTAATTATAGATTTCAAGGGGTTCCAATTTGTCAAAAATCCTGGTTTATAATTTATACAGTTGGAAAAACAAAATGGGATGCGATTAGAACACATTATTCAAAAAATGATATAAGTCCTATTGTTCATGGTCTTAAAGGACGTGTCAGTAATCATGCAATTAAGTTTGAAACCATATTATACGTACTAACATTTATTCAAAATTTTGCCACACAACATGGTCTTCCTTCACCTGGTAATATCTAAAACCTGCTTAAAAGGTTATCCGTCATTTCTTCGACAACCAATACAACACAATCACTTCCATGATCACTTCCATAACATTTGGGATCCATCTAATCAACTCACTGACTCACTGACAATCACTTCGTAGACACCACATTTCACTAACAATTACTTACCAACAAGTTCATTTCACCGACAGTTTATTTCACCGAAGCACATTTTATAGACAAAGTAATTTTGGTTAATATTATTAGGGACAGGTTAGAATTAGAGTTAGATTAGTGTAATTTATAAAAAAAAAAACTGTCGATGAAATGAGCTTCGGTGAAATAGATTGTTGGTAAAATGAACTTGGTGAATAATTGTCAGTGAAATTTGGTGTCTACGAAGTGATTGTCAGTGAAATAATACGGATCCATGACATATACCCTTCTCTGTTGCAATTACTTTACAACTAATTCCTGATAATCACTTCTCTAGCACAATCACCCCCTTATATCCTGATAACCAATTTTTCCAACAATCACTTTCCTGACACTATCACTTCTCTAACAACCCTTCCCAACACCTTCGCTGATAATCTGACAACCGGCGGATCCTTAACAACAACACCTACTTCACTGATAATCTGACAACTGGCACTTTCCTAATAACTATCGCTTCTACCACTTCCCTACTTCCTTAAAACCACTTCTCCGACGCCACTATACTGATACTTTCCTTCAAAATTTAAAATTATTTAAAAACTTTAAATTATTTCAAAAAATTTTAAAAATTAAAAAATTAAACCAAAAATATTTAAAAAATATTAAAAAAAAAAAATAAATTAAAAAAAAAGTAAAAAAAAAATAAATTAATAATAAGGGTTTAAGTTTTTCGTGCACCTGCATTGTAGTGCACCCCTAATTTTAACCAATAAAAATAGCGATTTTTTGTGT